AAAAAAAAAAAAAAAAAAAAAGGTTTTGTGAATTTGTGATTATGTAGAATGTTTGTTCTTTTTTTGCATATAGATCTGTTATACATTATCTTTTTTTAAAAAAATATATTTCTTTATTGATTACAGAGAGGAAGGGAGAAGGAGAGAGAGAGATAGAAACATTGATCGGCTGCCTCCTGTACCCCCCCACCGGGGGATCAAGCCGGCAACCCAGGCATGTGCCCCTGGCCAGGATCGAACCTGGGACCCTTCAGTCTGCAGGCCGACACTCTATCCACTAAGCCAAGCCGACCAGGGCCTCTTATACATTATCTTGATTGCAAAGACTGTGTGCATGTGCCCAGTGTGTATGTACATGCCCTGTGTATGTGTGTGTATGTGTGTGTGTGTGTGTGTGTGAGAGAGAGAGAGAGAGAGAGAGAGAGAGAGAGAGAGAGACTGACTTCACCCTGAGTTCCCTAACTTAAGGTCAGTCCTAGAACTAAGTTACTTTATGTTTTTTGGTGTTTTTTTTTTTATTACAGTAAGAGAATACAAATTAAAATTGTCAAAGGAAATAGGTACAAAAGAAAGAGTCCATAAAAATTATTCTTGCAAGGCGCCAGTTCTCCTCTCCCTTTGAAGTCCTGTGGATAGCAATAATTTCCCCACCTTTATGTGTGAATCATAATACATATGTACTATTACTAACCAGGGGCAGTACTCAAGCCTTTCTTTCCAGGGCTCTTTCTATATTTTATTTTCTATTTAATACTAGAGGGCTGGTGCACAAATTCATGCACATTGAAAGGAAATTAATTAGAAGAAATCTATATTTTAAAAGGCCTGTGGACCTAACGCTGTAATGACCAAAGACCAGCGCGGGTGGGAGGGGCTGTGAGTGTCACGAGGCCCGTGGGAAGGGAGGGCAGGGCTGCGCGATTTTGCGTGCTGGCCTTCTTGTATTTTAATATCGCTGTTCACTCTTTCTCTGTTATAGAAGTGTTAACCAAATTCATGATCGACAATGACAGATGGAAACATATGCGTGCGATTGGCACCTGCAAGAACTTTATATATATAGATAAAGTTGCTTAATTAGACCTGCTTTCTGTTTTAACTAAACTTTTTTCAGCCCAGGGAAACACCCCAACTTCTCTTTCAGTTGTCAGCAACACAGCAGTAAATGTCAACACGAAGCAGATTATTATTATAGATCATTCAGGGAGAACAAAGGATAAGATATTTAACTGCAGCAGTGTTTGACTATATTCTGCACAGTGTGAAAACCTGAAGTCATTTTCAACATCCACCATTTATTACTTCTTTACAGTCTAGTCAACTTTCTAAATCTCTGTTTTCCTGCTACTGAAAAGAAAATAGGATTCCACTGAATCTCCTACCTACCTACTTCAGGACTTCTGTGAGGATCAAATGAAATGAGGCATGGAAAATGTACATTTGGTTATACAGACATTTGGTTACAGTGTAAAATGTTTGCACCTGGCTATAAAGCAATTCTGTTCCTGGGCTGAAGAAACTCCAAGGAGGCTAGTTGGGAGGGAGAGAAAGGCGGGTGTTGCTGCATGATGTCATTACCCAGCACCCACAGCCACCTTTTCAGGGCTGGGCTAGGCTGTTGCAGGCTCAATCCCAGTAGTAGGTCTGTCTCTGTCCCCAGTCCTGTTGGGTCTCTCCCTCTCTCCCCTCCATCTAACTTGGTGGGCTCTGCCCTGTCCTCCTGCGAGGTCTTTTCTGCAGCCTCCCCCTTTCTTCTCTGGAGGTGGAGCTTTCCAAAGGCTGAGTGGGGCGGGGCTGCGGGGGTGGGTGAGGCTATGCAGGTGAGGCAGTGTGGGCGGGGCCAGGCGGCAGTGCAGAGCTCTGCAGGACAAGCCCAGGCAGGGCCTTAGAGGAGAGCTGGGGATACAGGTCTTGGGGAGGAGGATGGAGGGATATGGAGCCTGTCTCGTGGGAGAGGCACCAGGGTCCCCCCATCCAGCATTTTTTCTAGGCCCCTGAGCAGCTGTCACCCTGTGCCCCTCACTGCCTCCCACTTCCTTTCAAGTTTTGGGCTCAATCTCTCCAACACATCCCCACCCCCCTCTCTGCTGTGTCCTACCCACTCTCTTGGAGTAGTTAGTGAAACGTAGCAAAAAAAAAAGAAGCAGCTCTGCCCTAACCGGTTTGGCTCAGTGGATAGAGCGTTGGCCTGTGGACTGAATGGTCCCAGGTTTGATTCCAGCCAAGGGCATGTACCTTGGTTGCGGGCACATCCCCAGTAGGGGGTGTGCAGGAGGCAGCTCATTGACATTCCTCTCTCATTGATGTTTCTAACTCTCTAACCCTCTCCTTCCGATCTGTGAAAAATCAATAAAATATATTTAAAAAAAAAAAAAAAAAAAAGTTCCCATGAAGAAGGGGTGCCGGAGAGCAATATCCCTTGCAATGTTACAAGATGGAAAACTAAAAAAAAGGAAAAAAAAGAAGCAGCTCTGAAGATTATAAATTGTGCACTGAGAACGCCATAGGCTGCAGAGGGTTGTGCAGTCCACGGCTCTCGGATCACCTGTAGCAGCCTCCTGTGCCATGTGGTCCCACCTGGCTCCCGCCCCTACCCACCTCCACCTGGGACTTGGGCCTAACCCTGGGAGCTTCCTGATGGCTCTCACTTTACACTTCACTTTCCAGTCCAGCCCACCAGCGCCCTCAGCAAGGTAACCTATCAGTTGGAGTGTCTGCCCCTGGTGGTTAGTGTGCATCATAGCGACTGGTCGAACTCCCAGCAGAACTCTGGTTAAGGGGGCAATTTGCATATTAGGCTTTTCTTAACATAGGATTACTAATTATATTCTCTATGCTTTATTTTACAAAATCCTGTGAGTATTTATTTTATAACTATCTATCTGTACTTCTCCATCCCTTCACCTGTTTTTCTCAGCCCTGTAAACCTGTGCCCCTCTGGGCACCATCTGTATATTCTCTCTTATCTATGTGTTTCAGTTTTGTGTGTTCATTTATTTGTTCCTAGATTCCACATGTAAGTGAAATTATGTGGTATTTGTCTTTTCCTGACTGACTTATTTCACTCATCCTAATACCCTCTAGGTCAGCAATTTTCAATCTTTTGCCACAAGAATTTTTTTAAAATGGATTTTTTTTTTCTCAGACCATTTTTTTCTTAAATTATCGAATGAAAAATGACAGCGACCAACACAATAATCATCCAGTTTGTCAGATCTGCAAAAATGTACTTTTTGATGGGCCACATAGTTTTAGTAATTAGTTTAAATGTGCAATGAGATGAAAAAGCTGGAAATCACTGCTCTAGGTTCATTAATGCTATTGAAATGGTAGTTTTTTTTTTCTTTCATTTATTTATTTATTTTTATTTATTTATTTTCATCCATGCCGTTGCAAATTGTAAGAGTTCCTTCTTTTTTACAGCAGCATAGTATTCCATCGTGTAGATGTACCACAGTTTTCTAATCCATTCATCTACTGATGGGCACTTAGGCTGTTTCCAGATCTTAGCTATGGTGAATTGTGCTGCTATGAACATATGGGTGCACATATCCTTTCTGATTGGTGTTTCTGGTTTCTTGGGATATATTCCTAGAAGTGGGATCACAGGGTCAAATGGGAGTTCCATGTTTTGTTTTTTGAGGAAACTCCATACTGTCTTCCATAGTGGCTGCACCAGTCTGCATTCCCACCAGCAGTGCACAAGTGTTCCTTTTTCTCCACATCCTCTCCAGCACTTGTCGTTTGTTGATTTGTTGATGATAGCCATTCTGACAGGTGTGAGATGGTACCTCATTGTTGTTTTGATTTGCATCTCTCGGATGATTAGTGACTTTGAGCATGTTTTCATATGTCTCTTGGCTTTCTGAATGTCCTCTTTTGAAAGGTGTCTATTTAGATCCTTTGCCCATTTTTTGATTGGATTGTTTATCTTCTTTTTGTTAAGTTGTATGAGTTCCCTATAAATTTTGGAGATTAGGCCCTTATCAGATATGACGTTGGCAAATATGTTTTCCCACGCAGTGGGTTTTCTTGTTGTTTTGTTGATGGTTTCTTTTG